GTGTACAAGTGGAGCATGGCGGCACCAAGGACCAGAAGAACTGACTCGGGTGACTACAGCTCTGGGATCCCTGGAGAGGTAAGTGCTCTTTTATTTAAAAGCTGTGTTTGATAAAGGATTGGTCTACCAAAGGTCACCGCTGGCTCTTTCCAGGTGGCATCTAACCCAGAACTATGCAGGCACCATCAAATGGGAGGTTAATCAACCACAGCTCATGGAACCCATAGTATCCACTGGGTGAGCCCTGGTTGAAAATAGCTGAGGTACATCATGTCCTGGATAAATTAGAGTCTTCACAGACATTGAATCCTTGAGAAAGGGTCCATAAAACATTTTATGAAATATGCAATGTCAAAATTATGTAAGTATAGTCTATATCAACTGAGATAAACTCAATAAAATCTTTTTTTTTTTGGCAAAGGGCCACAAAGAAGACGTAAATGGGCAGAATGGCACAGAAATATAATAAGAGCCGATACTGTCTCAGACACTCCCTTTCAAAAGGCTCTTGTTCTTTTGTACAAAGACATCCCCCTTTTGTGTACAGCCATGTTAGTAAAAGTAAATGTAATTAGAAACTCTCAGGGTTGAGCACTGGTGCTGTCCTATCTTCCTTTGCTATTTTAGGCACTGACCCAGTGGATGCCAGCTTTGGACAATTGTGATTCAGACCCTTGAGATAAGTACAGAGCTGAGGTTCACTAAAGCTGGCCACAGACGGATCAAAGTTTGGCAGGTTCAACAGGAACCAGATGAATTTCAATCCATCTATGGCCAGGCTGGTTGTACTGAAGTCAATCTATTGACTGACATCACATTTTTCCGTATGTCTGTATGGCCAGCATTTTAGAATACTTAATTGTTAGTGAGGAAGCTTTTGTGGTGTGAAGCTCTCCAAGCAGTGGGAACAGCAAGTTACATATATGCTATATATTTAGATCATATATGAGAAAAGTATTATCACTGAAGTGTAAAACAAGTATGGGAATACCACTTCTGGTTCCTCTCCAAAGCAGTGAACATATGCATGGTCCTATAATTTCACTCTTTATAAATATGTCTTGCACATGTTTATTATAGAATAAAGGAAATAACCTAGTATGATGGAGTTAATAGAAGAAAGTGAACATATAAACTGTTTTGAATAATCATTCCAGGGAGAACATTAGAGAAAGACATCATCTGACTCACATATGTCAGAGTACAACAAAGATCAAAGAAATTCTTGCACTTGGAACTGCTGTTACGGGAACAAAAAATATATTGCAATAACACTAAATACAGTTTTGCTATATCTTCTATTGCATGTACTAGCATTTTCCTGCTGATTTATCAACTGACTGCAAATTCAATCAATTATCATTCAGATCGACCTTAATATTTAAATAAGAGCATCACTCAAAACTATTATGTCCAAAAGGATAGAGATTACTGGAGAATCTGTTTATGAACTTTTGCAGCCAGAGGTGATCCTATGAAGTCAAGTTCATCCCTTCTGTCTGGGCTACTGCTACCACCTATCACAGTTTGGCACTGTTCATTTCAACAGGGAAACCACCAGGGAGCCTTTGGCAGTTTCATTGTTGAGAAGTTCACCAAAATCATTGCACATTGCTGCAGTTTAAAAAACAGACCATATTATCTCTGGAGGTATCACCTCCACCCAACAATATTCTATCAATTTGTGTTGTAGCACTGTACAAAGTGCCATAACCAACAGGAACCTTCAGAATTCTGATGGCATCCCACTAAACAAAGCTGACATCTGATTGGCAACTTCTCTGCTGAGCTTTGTGTGCTTCATACACAGGCATTAACCCTTCAGTAGCAGAAGTGAAAGCAGCACCAACTGTCACCATAAACTGGTAGATCATCCGGCAAAGTAATCTTTAAGGGATTACCAACACCCATACTCCTAAAAACCGGAGAACTGGCAGCAGATCCACTTCTTAGCAAGAACAATGAGAACAATGTAAGCCTCACTGTAGTCAGCATCTCCGAAAAGTTGGTCTCATAGCTAGACCTGTTTAGAGTCAACAGAACGGCAGGAAGGGAAGCTTTTCATGTTCTAGTGAACAATATCCAAGAGAAATATAAACAGCTCACCTTTCAGACAAAACATTGTGCGTCCATTCCATAAAATGCCGGGGAAGAGGAGAGCTCTCCAAGTGGATAGCGCTGCACTACATACAGCTGTTTCCTAGCTCCCTTCATTCAGCATACACACAAAAACCGTGGCACCACTCCAGCTCGTGCTGTGAAAGGAAGCTGCCATCCAATCCTGTGTTATCCGAGCCAGCCGTTTGGCCTGTAACCCTCTGCTCTCCTCTCCAGCTGACTCCCCTCCATTCCAAAAATAATAGCTAAGGAAAGAGACAGAAAAAAAGAATGTTGCAGCCTCTCTATGGTTAGAGATAGCAATGGCCCATGTCCAATTGTACTACTTTATCGTCAGCATTTTTCACAGTTATGTGCACAGGGCTTTGGGATGTCAAATGGCAGAGGCAGGGCTGGTAAATCGCTCTTAATCCAACTCAACTGTTTGTTGTGAAACACTAACGCAGCGTTTTGTGGTTCATGGTTTTTTTGTTTTTTGTTCTGGAATGCCTGGCTTGTTTTCCAGTCCCCCGGGCACATTTTTTGGCATGTTGCTTTTGTGTAAGGACATTGTATGTTTTTTTTAATTTCACATGAGATCTAAATATCAACAGTAAATATTACAAATTTTATTATGAGAAATAGTTTAATCAATAAAGGCTGGTTCACACCAAAACATGCAGTGGGAAAGTCGCTTTCCATGTATGTTTCCAGCACAGTGTTCAAATACACTGCCCTTATGATCTGCATGTGTGTGCCAATGTGTTATTAAAGGCATTCCAAATGCAGAGCATTTGCAAGCATCAAATTGTATGGTACCCTAGTACTACTTTTTCTGCATTCTGGTGTGATTTGCAGCTCATTCAAATGAATTGGCTGTAAAATCACACCACATGGGAATGTGCGAGAATCGCATGGGAATGCGACACGCATTCCTGTGTCATCCCAGTGTGAATCAGCCCTAACAGAATGAAAATGATTATATAAGAAAATAAAAAAGGAAGTTCTGGTAGATGTCAACTGAAAATCATTCCTAAGTCAGCTAATAAAGCCAAGGTTCCAATAACTTAAAGACAGACATCAGGAATTTAGCCACTTTGTACAATGTGCTGGACTACTAAGGGTTACGTCTAACAAAGTGCATGCCACCTTGTGGCCTTATTTCTTTAAATTCCCATGTTTTCTTACTGAGTGCTGGTAACATAGCTCTCACTTTACTTTCTGGTCTCAGCTTCTGCAGCTGCAGAGTTGCATGCAGCCGCTGTGCTTGTCCATCTTCCTCGCCCAATCACAGAGTGCTTTGTATTATGCCCACTCAATCACAAAACATCAAGCCTTCTGTGAATGAACAGCAGAGGGGAGGGTGGGCAGAGCAGTGTCTGTATGAGAACGCAGCATCTCCCCTGTCAGAGCCCAGGATTGTAGCCATAGTGGCACTCCCAGAGCTTTGTAAAACTGTCAGTAAATAATAGACATAGTAGAGGAAGTTGCATGTATCTCATTTGACTTAACTCATAGTATGCCAGCATGTTTTACAAAGTGTCAAAATTCCTGGAGTGCAGCTTTAAAAGTGGTAATAAACCCAAAAGCAAACATTTATGATATTGTAGCTTACCAATTCTTAGATGTGATGGCTGCATTCATTTTGTTTAGGATTTCTTTCCTCTATTTCCATCTGGTGATCCAGCCATAAAGTCTATTGTATTTCAAAAGAACAAAGCTCTCTTGTAGATTGTATCAGTTACAGGGATGAGACAAACCATTGCACACTGGCAGGGGTGCTTACAATGGTCAGTTTTATTGATTCATGTAAAACCTTTATCCCAAAAGTTAAAAGAAAAACTGTCTGCTTTTACTGCTTAAAAAGTGTTAGCTGGAGTTTGCCTTCAATTTGTGTATTTGAAAATTTTAAAAATGTACATTTAACATGCCCCTCTCCCCATACTCACAATGCTGCTGTCCAAATGTGCCTCCAGTGTTCATTCATCCAGAGTGAGGGCACTCTAATACATGAAGTGTGTTACTGGCCAGATAACCAGGTAAAAACAGAGGGAAAAAAAAAACTAAAAAAGAGAAAATGAATGCAACCACCACACTTGTTTGGAATGTTGGAATACGTTTCTGGTTTGGTGTTTAATATCTCTTTAAGGGACACTTCATACCAGAACACCCGCACTGTGTTCCGGGTGTCATTGTTAACTCAACAACAATCCAAACGAAAATTGCAAACGCAACATGGTACAGTTGAGTAGTGGATCAGAGGCTGAAAGTGAACTGTGTTCCAATATATGCCATGTATGTCTTTTCTCATATAAATAACTTCCGAGCACCCCACCCTATAACAATATTCACTATCATTAGTATACGTAACAACAGTTTTCACCAGTATTCCCAATATTAAGAAGTTTGCTGCATTGAAAACAGTGCATTTTTATCATAAAAAAATGTTGCTATGTTGCTACATAAGATTTACCTTCTGTAGACAAATGATGTACTGATGGTGCCATCTGACAAAGAATGGAGTCAGAAGGGCAGAAACGTAAACGATACAGATCAGTAAATGCTCATATTTGAACAATACAGGACAGCCAGACTACACAGTTCACTAGTCAGAGCTTATCCTAATTATTAGCATTTAAAAGCAATCTGTGAAAAATCTGAAAACAAAAACAATGATTTATTGAACTTAAGTGAGTAGTTCCCAAAAAAAAACCTAGTTATCCAAGAATAGAATGTTGTTGCCCTTTCAATCTTTAACCGTTTTCCCGCCACCTTATAGCAGAAATACTGCTACAGGGCAGCAGGGGTGCGCAAAATCATGTATATATACGTGATTTTGCATCTCCGGGTAGGGGGCATGCGTGAGCCCAAACTGCGCCGCCATTGGTGTCCACACCTGTCGATCGCCGGGTCTCAGCCAGTGATTTCACGCCGTCACCCGGCGATCTTTGTGTATTACTGATGGGGGAGAGACCTGTGTGTAAACAATACAGATCTCTCCCCTGTCAGCTCCTGCACACTGCTTCGATACAAAGCAGTGTGCTTACAGTGTACAGCACACACACAGCACACAGTAAAACAGCACACAGTTAACCCTTTGATCGTCCCACATGTTAACGCCTTCCTGCCCAGTGTCATTAGTACAGTGTCAGTGCTTTTTATTAGCACTAATCACTGTATTGGTGTCACTGGGGATGTCAATGACAGTTAGTAATTTCCCCCAGTGTCAGAATTCCCACCGCAGTCCCGCTATAAGTTGCTGATTGCTGCCATTACTAGTATATAAAAAAAAAACAGTATCTATATCGCCAATTGTAGACGCTATAACTTTCATGTAAACCAATTAATTGACACGGATTGGGATTTTTTTTAGCAAATACATGTAGCAGAATACAATTTGGCCTAAATTTATGATGAAATTTGATTTTTTAAACTTGTTAACAGGACATGTTTAATAGCAAAAAGTCAAAAATATTGTTTTGTTCTCAAAATTGGCAGTCTTTTTTTTTGTTTTTATAGCGCAAAAAATAAAAACTGCAGAGGCGATCAAATACCAACAAAAGAAAGCTCTATTTGTGGGAAAAAAGGATATAAATTTAATTTGGGTGCAGCGTTGCATGATGCGCAATTGTCAGTTAAAGTAAGGCAGTGCCGTATCGCAAAAAATTATCTGGTCAGGAAGGGGGGTAAATCCTCTGGAGGGCAAGTGGTTAAGCCAGTCTCTATAACACACTTTGCACTATATCTTTTTACAACATCCTTAATTAAATAAAACATTTATACTTACCTAGGTGGTTACAGCAATGCTGCATCTGTCCCCCACTGGCTCTAAAACCGAGAACCGAGTGATCACATGAACGCTGATTGCTCGGTCCTCGGTGAGCTGAGTGCGTTGATTCAGTAACCAGCTCTCTGCTCTGCCCCTCCAGAACTCATTGGATCCTGACATTAATGTAGGACTCCCACCAGAACCTGGACTGGCCCAGTGACACCAGCATATATACAGATCACAGAAGTGCAGAACTAAGTGCACTCCTGTGACCCACAGGAAAAGTATGGCCAAATAAGCTTTGGTCCTACATCTCCTTTAATACAACTATGTGGTACAAGGGTATACCTAAATAATTAATTTAATTGTGTCCAGATAGTGTTCTAGTCTTTTTTTTGTAGATGCTGGGTAAATCTAAGAAAGATTATACAAATGTAATACATTTGAGGAGCTGTACAGTAAATAGTTCAAGAGAAGAGCAACAAATATTACTACCATTAGCAAAAAGAGCAGTATACCGTATAACGCTTGCAAACAGTAAAAGTTACTTCCAAGCTAAATGAAAAAGGGATTGCAAATGCCAGTGTATGATACAAGCTATGTTTATGCTATTTCACATAACAAACCCATTTTAATAAAATAAGAATAATAAAGTGGTTAGTACTTCCACTAGCAGCCTAGGGTCATTGGTTCAAATACCATCCACGGCACTACCTGTGTGAAGTTTGCATGTTCTCCCTGCGCCTCCGTGGGTTTTCTCCGGGTACTTTTGTTTCCTCCCACACTCCAAAGACGTGCTTAAGGCTCCATGCACATTGGGCGTTTTGATAATGCTGGTAACATTAGCTGTGTAAAGTCACATTAAAAACGTGAGTTTTTCAGCTTTCATTAGCGGTTTTGCATTAGCGTTTAACGGCATTTGCTTTTTTTTAGCTTTTTTCACCCAAAAACATTTTTTTGGTCACAAAAAGTCCAAAAACGCAGTTTTACAGCGTTTTGCCGCATTTTTCAGTGTTAGAGCGTTTTTACAGATAAAAAACTCCTCTACAAACCCACTATTCCTGGGTTTTCTTTCCAGCCAAAAAACGCTGATTACAGTCTATGTAGCCAAAAACAGCCGCTGTAAAAACGTCCAGTGTACATGGGGACGAAAGGTTAATTGGCTCTTGGCTAAACTGGCCCTGTTATGGGCCTTGGATTGTAAGCTCCTTGAGGGCAGGGAGTGATGTGAATGTACAATATATATATATATACTGTATGTAAAGCACTGGGTAAATTGATGGTGCTATATAAGTATATATAAGTACCTGTAATAATAATAATAATAATAAAAATAATAAATAAATATAGTTGCTACCCACACTTACTGTATACAAGATGTCTTGTAGGGCACTGAATTCCCATATTGCTGGAACTGCATTCCCAAATTAGTTGGGAGTGCCAAGCATAAGAAAAGTGCAGTCTATGTTTATTGTACAGCAGGGTTCTTCAAACTTTTCAGCACTACCGCCACATTGTATATTTTACAAATATTAGTGGGCTGAAAAGAAAAATCTAATTTTAGAAATTAAATCCGCCTTACATCAGGGTCCACATCAAATACCCCTTACCTCTGTAAGGCCACAGTGTGACTGTAGTAGCAGAGTGGGAGCCCTCTAGGTGAAGAAAAGTCTGTCTTCCTGTCAGTGCGGGAGCAAGAGTGTCATTGGTTGCTAGGATGCAAGTGGTCTTAGCAACTGACAGGGGCGATGACACTGCAACAAGAGATTGGAAACCTGTGTTGGGGACTGCTAGGGCGGTGGGAGAAGCAGCAGAGACCATAGGCAGCCTCTGCTCACCTAAATCCTTAATCTGTGCATACTGAGGACACTCCACTGGCCCAAGCATGGCATGAGGGCTGTAGTTTGGAGACCCAGCCTGTACAGTATAAAAATAAGAATATATTGTATCATTTAGTTATATCTAAAGTCCAAACTTTTTTTTTCACTTTGGATCAGTTTTTGTCAACTGTGTTCTATTAGAAATATATCCGTTTACATCCCGTCCTGTAGACTCAACAGAAAGTTAAAGAATATCTTTCCAGCTGTCACAGCAACAAAGGTTCCCATCAGAAGATTTCCCCTTTATTCCTGGTCATCATGACATTGATGCTCAGGACAATTAGAGAGAGTGAGTTTCTCTAACAAGGGCACAGACAGCAATACAAATCTTATAGTAGTTCTATGGCTTGCCATAGGTGACTAACTTGCTGATCGAAATAATCAGATTCCTCCATCCACACAAGCGAGGTGTAATGATGAATCCTCCCCGCTGTGCCACTCTATTCTGACAGCAGGACTCCTCTTCTGTCAGAATACACTGATCAGGGGCAGAAGCCAATTAGCCGCAGTCACTGATCGAAAAAAGTTTTCCAACACTCCTATCAACAGAAGTAGATCATTAGATCAACTTCTTTCAAGCAGTAAATGCCATACATCAATCGAAAGTAAGCCAGTCCTTGCTGAACCAGCTAAATTTTGATCCATCTATGGCCAGCTTCACCTCTCATATCCAAATCTACTATAGATCTGAATGTTCTCTTTTTTAGGAGTTGGATATCCAAAGAAATCTCCAACATTATTATAATTTCCATTACACTTTTGAACAATATATTTATATGGACATATTTTAAAGTCTGTAAGTCAAAGTATCTAATTCTGATTTGGAGATGTCAAAAAACAATTGTCAATCACGATTGTAAATCATTAACAGTGTGCAAGTCTTGGCACAGTAGACAATTTGTTCTCAGTGACAAGCTAAAGATATTTGAGTGTAAGCCAAATGCTAGTTAGAAATGTGATCCCTAATATAATGGCTTCAGTTAGCGGAACACCTGCTGCACACTTGCCAAAAATGAGAAACCTCTGCTCCCAACATACTAAAGTAGATATATTACAAGAAGCATCCAACATGTTTGCCTTGTGTCAACACAGCACATAAATTAGCTCTTCAGACAAATGTATCCATCAGAATACAGAGTTTGCTGCTACCCTAGCCAGGGCTTTTCTTACCATTAGCACTGATGGGCCAGTAGCAAGAGCATCAGGATCATACATTTTTTCCTTTCCTCGCCATTTCTTGACATTTTCAGCTAAATTCAGCAAATTAACTATGGAAGTCTGAGTATAGCATATTTAGAGGATTCACTATAGTTGAATACTGTTGCTAAAATAAAACGTACCGCCTGCAGAGAAGACATTTTGTACTCACCTCTCCTGCTGTCCATGTCACCACTCTCTGCAGTAGTGCAGAGAAACAGCCAGCTGGGGGTCCTGCAGAACCAGACTCTTCCAGAAGTGTCGGAATTTACAGTCCCTCACTGCGAACTATGGTTTGATCCATCAGCCCCTACATACCTTCTGTGTCCTGTATTGACATAGGGCCTGACAGGAGGAACCAAAGCATGAAGCAGAGGACCAGGATTCCACATTCCTGGAGGTGTCCGATTCTGAAGATTCTTAGGTGTCTCTTCATTACTGCAGAGAACAATGGGGCGGGAAGCAGAGGAGGAGAGTATACATGGCTTCTTTTAAGAATAACATATTGTAAAGTTTTATTTTAGCATCATTCACTTTAAAAAATATGAAATCATAAAAATATTGCCTGAAATAAGGGACAGAGTCTGTGAAAAAGGCATCTTTCTGATGTGCCCACGGTACTTTGATATCTAAAGACAGCCTCCATTATAGATATTGTATTAGGTACAGGACCAACTGGTATTGGCAGAAGTAAACCATGCCAGACAGGGACACTCAGGAACAGTCCAAGCAGGTTTGTCCTTTTATTTAGCGTGGCAGTAAATAAACACAGTTTCAAGGCAGGAGAGCTTTGTCCAATAACTAAACTCAGGTAAGTTTCCAAAAAAAAGCCCCTTTCAGATCTTGCTGCTGATCCCCACTGAGCAGGAAAATGATAGGTCTGTGTCCACTCTGCTCCTGCAGAGCGGACACAGACACAGCCCACAGTTTTCTATGGAGCAGTCGGATGGAAACAGACTGCCTGTCCGTTTCCACCCGACTGTTATCCGATCCACCAGATGGATGGGGAACGGATCCCCATAGAGAGCTATGGATGGTCCAATCGGTTCCGCTTGAAAAACTGACAGTGTGAAAGGGGCCTAACAAGGCATATCCTTAATCATGGGTTCCCCAAAACAAAAAGGAAGCACTTGTACATTTTTAATGTTATGTTAGCATTTAGCCATTTCACCCTGCAGCAGGCTACCATAGCAGAGACACTGAAAGAAAGCCCTGCATATCACTCAGCTAACATAAAAAGGCCTGGGACAGCTGAGACTAAAAATGAGATTTGGATACCAGGTAAGATATGGACCTAGGAAAGGAGGCTTTATCCCACCAAGGCTCTACCAATCCTCCGGCTCCAGAACCCAGACCAAACCAGAAGTCTGTTTTCCTCACATCAGTCATAAACCCTGGAGCTTCTCAC